TGGCTCTGTAGTCGGGCCCTGATTGTATTTGGTTGATGTAATGCTTTATTCATGTAATTGTGTGAAGTGGCGATTGTAAGCCAACTATGTATCTCTTGCCCTTATGTATTACATGGGTTGTGTGAAGATTACCTCACTTGCGACATTGCTTTCAATGCGGTTATGCCTCTAAGTCATGCTTCGACATGTGGGAGATATAGCCGTATCGAGGGCGTTACAGGTACTCAGCTTCAGATTCATCGGTACTATTCCTGGGCCTTTTTTTCAGGTGAAATGACAGTTTTGGCTGCAAACAATGTTGATAATGCAGGAATTCCGAGTGCTTGCAGCCTTGAATTGTTCCTTATGATTCTTTTGAGGCGCAACTCGTCCATAGGATGTACAGGTGGTGGTTCTAAGATGAGTGAACACATGAACACAAATTACTATGTGCATAATATGTACTTAATAACAAATTACTGTTTCTTATGTTTATGTATGGCTACAACCCTAATGAACCAGGAACACTAGCAAATGAAGTCAAGAACAATAAAAACACTATTACCACCTAGTAATTAGAATTACCAGCACAAGTACACCTATGTTTAACCGTAGTTTGCCTCATATATGCACACACAGATATAGCTTTGACATCACTTGATCTGACTCCTATCACCGCCACTGCATGTGAAGCTTCAATGCTTCAACTTATTCAAATAGCAGCCATGGAGTGGGTTAAGAAGATTATACCTGCTGTCTTGCATCCTCGGGATTTCTTCGCTGCAATCTTCTTCCCTATCAGTGTGTCGTGCAGATGTCCAGCGAGGTGTCGGAGAGGCCCTTGAAGCAGCGAAGTGTGGTGGCGGCGAGGCACTTGAAGCGGCATGGTATGAAGGCGGCGACGGCTTGTTTCTCGGGTTTGGTGGAGGGGAGGAGGGGAGGGAGTCTGTGGCCGGCAGTGGATGTGGGGTTGTGATCGGTGGTGGAGGCGGAAGAGGAAGAGGAAGGGCAGTGGCGGAGGTGACCAGCGGTGGTCGGGTCGTGTTCTAGGGTTTGGTGGAGCATGGGGCGGAAGGGGGTCTTGGCCAGCAGTGAGGGAGGGGATGTGACCAGCGGTGGAGGTGGAAGAGGGACAGGGCCCGTGCTCGGCAGTGGAAGAGGCCGGCTGTGGAGGAGGTGATGCCGGCGGCGGTGGAGGAGGTGGTGCGGGCGGTGGAGGCAGATCTGGGGCAGCCGTGCGAGGGGCGTGGGGGATTTGGTGATTTGGGGGCTAGGGGGCGGCCGTGCGGTGGGGTTAGTGGGGTTAGTGGTTTGTGTCAAATTACAATGTTGTCCCTGAATAGCTTTGTGTAATTTTCTGTAACCTTGGTGGGCAATATGGTCAATTCAAGATGGTTCTTTTTGGCTTGGCGCGGGTGGAGCGAAAATAAAGTCCCCTGCGCGCGCTTACTTGCCGCCAGGTAAATTTAGAAATTGATGTCTCCACTCAAAAAAAAGAGACATTTTGTTTCTATAATTAGCAAGAAATTAAAAACATTCTAGAGAATACATCACGAGCAAGTCATTTTGTTTCTATAATTAGCAAGACATATATTTAATTACACACTATGTCATAATTACTAGAAATTATTTATGAAATAATTACCCACCCGGCCACCACACCACTCCAATTCCATTTTGTGATGGAATCGAGTGCACAGTCTTGACGACGACCCGATCATCGGAGGCCTCTTGTGGTACGCCCTGAAAGAGTGCTCAGAGCTGGGTAATCATGAATGCACCATAGAACTGCAGCATGAAGATCAAACATTTTTTCACTAAGAGCATCATATGTACGCACACCCTCCTAGAGCTCAAGTAATTCTTCTACAAGTGGTTGTAGAAAGACATCAAAGTGCTTTCCAGGTGACTTAGGACCTGGAATTAGCAAAGCCATCATGAAATTTGACTGGTCCATGCATGCCCAAGGTGGAAGGTTGTATGGTATAACAAACACAGGCCACATACTATAGGTTGTGTTAAAGTTTCCAAAAGGATTGAACCCATCAGTGGCAATGCCAAGTCTAATGTTTCTGGCATCTTTTGCAAAATCTGGATATTGTTTATCAAAATCTTTCCATGCATCACCGTCAACTGGATGACTCAATTCCTTCTCACTGGGTTGCCTCTTTAGCTTGTGCCATTGTGCTTCTTCTACTCCTTTTTTGGAAAGAAACATCCTCTTCAGCCTAGGCACCAATGGAAAATGCCTCAACACTTTCTATGGAATCTTCTTTCTAGCAGGGTCTTTCCACCTTGATAGGCCACAAACTGGGCAGTTGTCATGATTGGCATATTGCTTTCTGAACAAAATGCAATTATTAAAGCACACATGTATAGAAACATACCCAAGGCCTAATTCCTTTAGAAGGTTCTTTGCTTCCTCGTATGATTTTGGGAGTGTATTAGGTTCAGGGAATGCTTCAGCCAATATCTTCAATATATCAGTAAATGCACTATTTGTGATCCTATGGTATGACTTCAAATGAAGAAGCTTTACCACAAAGGAGAACCTTGAAAACTTGGTACAACCATGATAAAGTTGCTGCTTTGCCTCTTTCATCACATTCTTCAAAAATGACTCATGCTCAGAAGGATTTTTAGTTTCACTTTCAGCTTGTTCTACTGCTGTGCGTAGGTCTCCAAACATCTCCTCAAATCGATCAGCACCATTGTTACCATCGGCAGTGTCATGCACATGAACAGGTTCTTCAATCACATCAACATCAAAGTCTTCTCCATGATATATCCAGCGAGTGTATGTACTTTCCATGCCATACGTCAATATGTGTGTGTTCACAACAGTCTGATGCTGGTGTTTATGATTAAGGCAATTTCTACATGGGCAGAGTATTTTCTCATCCTCGCTGAATTTATCTTGAATGAAGTTCATAAATTCTTTGACACCTTCGATGTACTCACGGGAAAACAATGTACGATGAATCCAACGTCTATCCATCTGCATTGCATAAAAAGAATCAAAGATATATCATCACTGAAGAGACATGACTAGAACAACTTACAAGTAATCCCAATATTACAAGGGGCATATGGATCAGAATTATCACTCTAGAAAGGCAACGTGTTTACTAGCAAAGATGGAAATAACATACAACCATAAGTGAAGACTTTTGATGGCCAGATAAATAAAATAGCAACAAGTTATAATAGAGGGAGCTGCCTGTAGCCAATCTCTTCTGCACAACAGAACAAACAAAATAACGATAACCAGGTAGTCACAAGTATTAAGGATTTAAGGCAGGATCAGATTTTGGGCATTTTGTACCAATAGAAGCAGCATGTCCTCTACTTAGGGCAGGATCAGATTCTGGGCAAATTCTGCCAACAAAACACAAAGCTTAAGCATGCAGAAATCACTTGCAGATTACGCAAGGTAACTGGGATTTCGGATCACATGGTATACAAGGTCCGGATATTAAAACACAACACAACCCCAACTTTTAATCTATGCGTACATTTAAATCATTTGGCCAAGCACTGTTATCCTAGATCCCCTATCCAAAAAAAATCATCTCAATCCATACAACTATATTGGAATAGCAATATTAAGTATGGGAAATCCATCTTGAATTATCTTTGTATATGCATACTTGCTTCACCTCCGCTTGCAAATCACAATATTTAATCAACAAATTCAGTAGGAGAGAGATGATTTCTGTAGAAGACATACCGCTCGCTCCTGGTTGACGTTGATGTGGGGAAGAATGGGGGAGTGTCCGGTGCAGCAATGGCGGGCGGCGGCTGCTCGTCAGTGCGGCAATGGCGGGCGGCGGCTAGATCGTGGTGCGGCAATGCCTGGCGGAGGCTGGCTCGTCGGCGCAACAAGCGCGGGCGGCGGCGAGGCGGGAGGCCTACGAGATCCTGAAGATGACGCCGAGACAGACCACCCCGCCGGACCACCCTCGCCCGGGCAGCCGTCGGCGGCACTGGAGGCGCCGCGGCGACGGCCTCGATCTGGACGGCGACGCACCAAATCAATAACTTATTTTTTTACTGTCATGTGGGGCATACAATGGCACCCACGCATCCTCACTGTTTTTTTTTGGAAAAGCAAGTATGGTCCAACCGACATGTGGGCCAAAGAAGGGGCATCTATGCCACATCAGCATGAGTACAATCCATGACGGTCTGGATGGTGTATATGGAAAAAAGGTAGGCCCAACTAAGCCCACTTGTTTGATTCGTGACAGTTTCCGTGACAGTAGCCCGACGTCCGTCATCAAGGGCCTGCTGTTTTTCGGCCCACACGCGGCTTACTAGTCGGTGACGATATGGGTGACGGATGAGTGTAAATTGTCATAATCGGTGACGGATACAGGATCGTCAAAAAAAATTCGTCATGGATTAACAGATTTCTTGTAGTGCTATGACAATTGAAAAGCACTTAGTATTGTATACACATACGTAAGAGTATTCCTCAGATAATGTTTTTCAATGGGAACAGCAAGCTCAAATTCACAGACAAGTTGGTACAAGCATGTGCTACCATTTTCGACTATTGCAATCCGTCACATACAGAACAGGAAATACCTTAACAACTATTACTACTCATATCTGCTAATGGAAATGCCAAAATTATAAACTCCAAGAGGAAGATTATGAGAACTTAAGCAACGATATGAATTTCCAATGCATGCTAGTTAGAGATGGAATGCGCATAAGCAACTTAATTAGAGCAACATTTTACGACACTTAATAACCTGCGCGCTTGCAGTTTCCTGCCAATGGACATGTACTAATTCTGGAACAGTATGTAGAAGGTCTAAGAATTTCTATTGCATAAGCATATATATAATGGCACATAACTGAACAACGATGCAATTTGTGCACAAATCTACTGAGTGAGAAAACTGAATTGTCAGAGCTTGAATCATGGCTGCTAAGAGAGTAAAATATACAATAGAAAATATCCAACCAGTATGCAGTGTTCATATATACCTTGTGCCATCTAATTGGCAGACCACGTGTAGACATCCAGGTCTTCGCCATGAAGTTGTCGATGCTGCTCTTGAAGCTCTGGCACCCAGCGGGAAGATATCTCTTGTTGCATATCCTCGCCCAGCCCCAGCTGCTGCAAACTGGCCAACCCCTCTACATGCTTTAAATTTGGACAGCCAAGTACACGCAGGTCTGTCACTAGAGGGAGGTTGCAGACTCTCTCCAAGCCTTCACAATTCTTAATAATGAGCTGAGGGATCAGTGGGAAGTCCTCCATGGCCATCAAGTTGTTTATTCCAATTAAAACGACCTGCTTCAAGCTGGCGGTGTCCTCTCCAAGCTGTGGCGGCAGAGCCCTCAGCTTTGGGCAATCCACGAGCTGCAACGACACCAAACAGGGCAGCAGTTGCAGCCTTGCAGATTGCACATCCTCTTTGCGGATCTCAGCAGTTCCATCCGCGCCCCTTCCATCATCAGCAACTTCCTCCTCAAAAGAAGACCACACCTCCCAGTTGGGCATATCCTTGAAGATCAACCATTCAAGTTTAGGGAAAGCACGAAACTCATTACACACACGATCACCCTTCTTGAAGCCAGCAAATTTAGGTCCAACCTTGGTAACTGCATGTGCTCCATCAATTCTCAGAAATTTCAAGTTTGATAGCTGCCCGATCGGTGGAAGTTCCACACATGATCGTACATCCACCAGTTTCAAATATATTAATGAAGACAAATAGGTGGTACCAAACCAGGTGGGATACTGCCGACCAAAGAATCTAAAAATAGATAGGTCTTCCAGGTTGTGTGGAGGTATTAGCTGCTCAAAGACTTTCTCAGTATTGCTAACATCTTCTTCTGAATATGATACCTCTCCATGTGCAGTCCACTGTAGTCCTAGTTCTTTTAGATGCTTTTTGTCTGTAAGCACTCCATTTATGCTGTAGTGAGCTGCTCTTTCCAATTTAACAAGAGATAGATGCCTCATCTGCGACAAAGAAGACAACTCTTTCAAGTTCCATCCACCCTGTACAACAGCATTATCACTTCCATCACCAACAGGATAATCTCTTAAATGGGTGAGGAACTTCAGTTTGCCTATGCCTTTGGGAACCTGATTTATTTTTGTGCCAAAAAGATTAAGACATCTTAAACTGGTCAACAGGGTCATTGCCGAAGGAAGAGTGTGCAGATCATTACACCATCTCAAGCTCAGTACTCGAAGGTTCCTTAGGGAGCCAATGGATTCCGAAAGACAAGATATACCAGTAATCTAGATTAAGTAGACGTAGATGTATCATTTTTTCTATATAATCCGGAATGCTTTGTACAAGTGTGTAATTCAGTACCAAAACACGAAGAAGCAGAAATCTCTTGAACAATGTATCCTCAATTCTCTGTGGACCACGAACAGTTAGGAAAGTCCTCACCTTAACTTTGACTTTATCCTTGCTAAGCAACACTAATATATCCTTTTTAGCTGCAACAGCAGTAACACGTCGCAGTTTTGACATATTTTCACCACTTAATGATTCAACATCTCCAACAAAACATTCTTCTCTTGATATATTTAAAGCAAGTTGTCTTAAGAGGTCATGCATTTTGCATTTGGCCTTATCAAAACTTAGCATATATGGCTCGAGGAGATTCCGATGGATTAGCTCATAATAGTACTCTTCTGCTGTGTCTTCTAGTAGTTCGCCTTGCTGCTTCTCGATGAATCCTTCAGCAACCCATAACCAGGTAACTTCATCATGTCGAATGATAGAATCTTCAACATACATAGCACAATAAAGGAAACACTGCTTCAAACGATGTGGTAACTCATCATAGCTTAGATACAAAGCTAATTCTACTTCATCCAAGAGTATGCTCTGGGAGCCAATATATTTGCCCAGATACTTTTTCCACTCATTATCCGTTAGATCTCTGCTTGCCAAAGCACTAGCGGTAACCTTGATTGCAAGAGGGAGGGGACCACATTTACGAACAATCTCAATCCCTGTTTTTCTTAAATTCTCCACTTCCTTTTCTTCCTCGATGTTCATGCTCTTCCAAAGTAGCTCCCATCCCACTTCTACTGCCATGAGATCAACTTGATGGGTATGGTCTACACCTATTCTCTTTGTAATTTGATAATCTCGCGTGGTTACCAATATTATTCCAACACTTGTTTCGTGAAATGCAGGTCTCAGTAAATCCGTCCATACATTGGAATGCCACACATCATCTAGAACCAGAAAGAGACTCTTCCCTTCAATTGTTTCTGCAAGCTTCCTCTGGAGCTCGCCTATGGTTTCACCTTGCTCATGATGCACACCAATATTCCGGAGAACCTCCTTAAGAAGAGTTACTCCATTGTAGTCTTGTGAAACAAAAATCCATGCATGTATCTTGAAGCTTCCTTTTATTTTTTTGATCATTGTATATTTTCTGAGCTAGTGTTGTCTTACCAACTCCTCCAGTTCCAACGATACCGAGCTTGTAAGACTTGTACTCCTTGTGTGCAAGCACAAAGTCCACCAACTTCCTGCTAGAATGTATGATCTCCTTCCCCACAAGGTTGGGCTCAACAAGATTGGAACTTCTTATCAGTTTGGATGTTGGACCATTCCGAGTAGGTTGTGTACTACTGTTGAAAGTCGAAAATATCTTTTCATTTACAATGTTCTCAATCTTTTTGTTCAGGCTTCTAATCCGAACAGCAACATCACGGCGTGGCACTATGTTGCAAAAACAAGAGGAAACTGAAAGGCCTTTACATGCAACTGATTTGCCTGATGATGGTGAAGGGTGGTCAGCAAGTAGCTTGCTTCCTTTACATCTAGCCACGTCCAAGATTTCATCAACATCATATATAACATCTCTCAGTTGACCAAGCCAATTGTTTACTGCTTGCTCTTTTGTCCTCCTTTTCTCAGCATCGTTTATACAACACTGAATTAGTTCCACTTGCCGCAGCAGTTTTGTGAGCTCTTTTTCCACCCCTAGGATTAGTATGGCCTCATCAATAATGATATCTTTCAACTTATTGGCACATGATCCAAGCAAAGATGCTAGAACGGCTGCCATCAAACTGATGAATTGCACGCACAGGGGGAGGTCCACCAAAAAAATACCAGGGCGACTTGTTTTGGAAAATGGTAAAAAGTGAATCCTGAAAATGAATACACAAGGTATGTTAATTGCTTTGACAGTGACATACGTCTCTCTAATATGTACTGGCATAGAAGATATTTAACGTATTTAGAATAATGGAGCTATGCAACATACAAATGGGGGAGTAAGGCCAAGTATTGAGGTCTAAATCCCTGAGTTGGTATTCTGTCCTTTTATCTGCTTTGTGCTTGCAAATTAACATGTGTTTTAGTTCTGTATGTTAGAATTATTTATTGGCTTGTTTTGCTCAGTTGAATAGCCATCAGATGGCTGCTGCATAGCAGCCTATACAATAAATGTTCCACTGTGTTAAAAACTACAGATTAATCATCCAGTTATATATGTTTGTTTGTCAGATCTATCGTAACACTAAATCGATTTCCAGAAATCATGATAATTTGTTACACGTCCTAGTCATGAAAGTAAAGTTGGAGAAGCATCAAATGGCCGTGGCACTTGTTTGGAGCAGATTTTCTGTTCACCGTTGACGAAATACACAACCATCTCTCTAGTCGGTTGAAAGTCCAGCAACAAAGACAACAAGGTGGCGTTTTCGCTATTCTAAACTGAGTTGCAAGATTCCTTGAGGACCTCGGTAATGTTGAACTTTGTCGTGGTGGCCGTGGCCAACGATGCAAGGGTGAGAAGGAGGAGTGCAGCGGTGGCGGCCCTCGGACATGCCATGATTGCTGAGGGCGACGCGGAGGGCGACGCGTCTGGGACGCGCGATGCGGAGGGCGACGCGTCTGGGACGCGCGAGGCGAAGGGAGACGCAGCGAGCGCCGCGGCGGAGGTGGCCGGCTGGACGGTGGTGCGGCCTGCCGCGGGGCGGCCGCGGAGGGGCGCGCTGCCAGAGGGGCGGGCCCCTGCTCCGTCCTTCTCCGGCAGTCGGTTCTGGGCGCTAGAGGGGTTTGACTCCGACATCGACGCCGACGAGGTAGGTTCTCAGGTGAGTTTAGGTAGTTCCGGTGGTTCGCCGAGGCCCAAGGATGGGTGCTCGGTGGGCGATTTCATCGCCCGTGCGGAGGAGCTTGGGGGCTCCTTCGTGGCTGGCCGGTGGCGTGCTTTTGCTCCCGGAGGGAAGGGAGGCCGCCGCCTGGCGGCGCGGATCTGGTGCCCGCCAAAGGGGGTGGATGCGGGCCCAGAAGGCCGCTCGTGCGCCATTCCGGTGGCGGTCCGCCGAGATCTGGTGCTGGCGGAGCCCCCTCGGGCCCTTTCGTGCCTGCCGGAGCCGGCCGGGGCTGGCGACGGCGGCGGTGGGGCTGGCAGGGCAGGGGCTGCACGGAACCTGGCTAGGGTTTCCGGGGCACCGACGGCTGGGCCTGTTCCGGTGTTGGGCCAAAGTGATTGGCCCAGCCTGCCAGGGGGTGGGCTGGGGGACCCTGCGTTGGGCCAGCAGGCTTCAGCGCCTGCGGGGCCGGTGGGCTCAATGTCGCTCTCCACCGTGACTGGGCCAGGAGGGGGGCAAGGGCTACCCACCGAGTCGGGGCTAGTCCAATCAGGCCAAGTGGCCGGTTGCGAGCCTGCGCCTCGGCCCGGGCCCAGCGTGACGGAGAAGCCGAGGCCGTCTCCTCCTATTAATAGGTGGATGTGGGTTCCGAAAGGAACCCTAGATCTATCGCTAGGGTTTCCTGCCTCTCCCACGCAGGTGCGGCGCTTCGGACATCTCGCGCGCCGTCTGCTCCAATCCGCCCCTCCTCCTCCCCTTTCGTGCTCATACGCCACTGCGGTGCGGATGGGGTCCCGCCGGAGTGACAAGCCCCCCATGTCACCCCCGATCCCGGCGGCGGAGCGCCAGCGTGAAAAGGATCTGCGGGCGAAGGCGCTCGCCAAGGTGCCAGCGTCTCAAGCGGAGGATGGGGGCTGGGGGCCGTCGCCTCCATGGTGGATCGCTGAGCAGGAGCGGAAGAAGGACGAGGAGCGAGAGCGAAAGAAGAGGAAGAAGGAGGAGTATCGGCGGCGGGGACCCGAGCAGAAGAAGGAGCTCAAGCGGAAGGAGTCCCAGCTCCCTCTGGGCGGCGAGCGGGCCGGGGTTCCGCAGGCCAAGAAGCCGAAGCATAAAGGGGACGGCTCGGCGCCGCTGCAGTTGGCGGCTGGCCTCGAGGCTTCTAAGGGATCGGCGGACGCCCCGATCCCCGTGGAAGAGGCCGACGGGCCGGAGTGTTTCAAGTGCGGCAGGGTGGGGCACTACCAGAACATGTGCTCCTTCAAGCCCCTGTGTGTCGTCTGCCACGGGGAAGGACATGCGTCTGCCTACTGCCCCACGAGGGGGAGGCCCCTGGCGCTGCAGATCATGGGCAACGCGATTCCGGGCGTAGGTTTCTTCTGCCTCCCTTTCGTGGACACGGAGGGGGAGGAGGTCCGTGCCCCTCTCGTCTCGGATACGGCGATCATTTCGGCGGCGCCGGGCAAGCTCTCCATCCCCATCCTGGAGGCGGAACTCCCTCACCTCTTTGAAGGGGAGTGGGACTGGCAAGTCTCGGCCGTCGGAGCTGACCAGTTCTCGGTCGTCTTCCCCGACAAGGCCATGTTAAGGATGGCAACCCGCAGCGGCAAGCTCTACTTCTCCCTCCACGACATCATGGCGGACATCAAGGAGGCGCGCCCAGAGGAGCCCACGGCCGAGCTCATGCCAGACACCTGGGTCAAGCTGTGGGGCGTGCCACCCAAGCACCGCCACGTGGACCGACTCATGGCCGCCACTGTGATGATTGGACGCCCGATGGAGGTGGATCTGGCGTCGCTGTCCGGCCTGGGTCCGGTGCGGATGCGTTTCGCGTGTCGTGCCCCGGATAAGCTCAAGGGATACGTGCAGATCTGGTTCAACAGCAAGGGATACACCTTCCGCCTTGAGGCAGAGGCGGGCGCTCAGCAGGGCGCGGCTCCAACCCCCCCTCCCCCTCCGCCGTCTGACCTCGACAAGGGCCAGGAAGACAAGGACAAGGACAAGGACAAGGACCAGGACATGAGCACGGGGGACGACTCCATCGACACGGCTACTTGGGACAAACT